AAAGATGTGTTGACAATATCCACTGCATGAGGAATATAAGCTTTGCGGACTCTTCGAAACGGATGTCAAATTGACAAACCAAATACCAATGTTTATCTGAAATGTCATGTTGACAATACCTTAACTTGATTAGCTATGTATAGACTGAACGAGATGCCACTGTTCGATCCCAGCGTTAGAAGTATTGACGTTTGCACAGTTCGAAAGTGTTGTTAACCCCTTTAAAGAGATACTCATATAGATTGGTACGGGCAAGGATAGGTATTAGTGGGTGAAAGCCGACGCCGGACTTTCAGAAGCACTGACACAGGCATCAGAAGTGTTCTTACCTTGAGGAGGAATGCAAAACTATCATTTATTATTTTCGTTTAATTGATAAGGACATAGTTAACAATCAACAATTTAGCACTGGGTAAAATGAACAAAAAAAAAAGAAAAAAAATATACATGAACATCATATACTAAAATATTAACTAAAGATTAAAATCGATCGACTCACAAAAGCTTGAGAAAAATGAATATGTGAAGATGAAACCTAAATGACAAAAATGTGAGATCATTGAAAATAATTTCTCTTTTATATTATGTTGCAAGTATTATGATTTGTCATATAATGATCATATTTTCCTCTGTATATTTAGCAAATATTAAAACCATATTAGCAATTTTAGAAATCAACCTAGACTATATATTATACCTGGATAGGGGTTATATAGGCGAAAGCCTGTTCCCCAAATTGTTTACAAAAAAAATATTTTATACTTACAAATGATTTACTTATATTATATTGTAATATAATTGTAAATAATAATCATATACAAAATTAATGCATTTGAAATATATAACATTGCAAATAATATATATTTAAAAAAAAGTATTTGTTAATTGCACTTTGACTAGTATATCACATCCCATAATATGCAAATAATATTTACAAAATTAATGCAATTAAAATCGAAAAATACTGCAAATTAAATTTTTAAAAAAATTACTCGTTGCAATTTTACTAGTATATCTCATCCTGCAATATTTACAAAAACATTTTATGTAATTTAATAAATCAAAAACTATTCATTTCAAAATGATATTTCCCATGTGTTGCAAATAATACACATTTAAATAATTTATGTTTAGCAAGTAATATGAATCTACAAATTCCACTTTGACTAGAATATCTCATCCATCATACTTGCAAATTATATTCACAAAATTATTGAATCGAATGGAGTACAATGTTTTACAAAGAGAAAAATATTAAATAAGAATATCTCAATATATGCTTAAATAGATAATAAATGATAAACAAATTCGGTTAACCTTTCAGACTACAGACTCATAGTTCTCTAAACTTTGGTGCCACCTTGGGGTTAATATTAAGTGAAATATGTCAAAAAAAATTAATATTTCTTGGAAGACGAAACTGAATATGTCATAATTCTCAAAAATATTTTAACTGTATATATTATTATGACGGAAATATATAAGCAAATATGCCAAATCGTGAATGAATAAAATATTGCCATGTACTTACCAAATATAATGGCAAATATGTCAAACGGATATGATATTGCTCTAACATGTATTACGGTAAATGAAAAATCAAATGCAAGGTATATCCAATGCATAGAAATATTGCTGTATAATTTGGTAAATGAAAAATCAAATGCAAGGCATATCGAATGCATAGAATATTTCTCTATAATTTGGTTAATGAAAAATCAAATGCAAGGTATATTCAATGCATAGAAATATTGCTGTATAATTTAGTAAATGAAAAATCAAAAGCATATTCAATGCATAGAAATATTTCTCTATAATTTGGTTAATGAAAAATCAAATGCAAGGTATATCCAATGCATAGAAATATTGCTATATGCATAGAAATATTGCTGTATAATTTGGTAAATGAAAAATCAAATGCAAGGCATATCGAATGCATAGAATATTTCTCTATAATTTGGTTAATGAAAAATCAAATGCAAGGTATATCCAATGCATAGAAATATTGCTATATAATTTGGTAAATGAAAAATCAAATGCAAGGCATATCCAATGCATAGAAATATTTCTCTATAATTTGGTAAATGAAAAATCAAATGCAAGGCATATCGAATGCATAGAAATATTTCTCTATAATTTGGTTAATGAAAAATCAAATGCAAGGCATATCGAATGCATAGAAATATTGCTATATAATTTGGTAAATGAAAAATCAAATGCAAGGTATATCCAATGCATAGAAATATTGCTATATAATTTGGTTAATGAAAAATCAAATGCAAGGTATATCCAATGCATAGAAATATTGCTATATAATTTGGTTAATGAAAAATCAAATGCAAGGTATATCCAATGCATAGAAATATTTCTCTATAATTTGGTAAATGAAAAATCAAATGCAAGGCATATCGAATGCATAGAAATATTTCTCTATAATTTGGTAAATGAAAAATCAAATGCAAGGCATATCGAATGCATAGAAATATTGCTATATAATTTGGTTAATGAAAAATCAAATGCAAGGCATATCGAATGCATAGAAATATTGCTATATAATTTGGTTAATGAAAAATCAAATGCAAGGCATATCGAATGCATAGAAATATTGCTATATAATTTGCTTAATGAAAAATCAAATGCAAGGCATATCGAATGCATAGAAATATTGCTGTATATTTTAAAATAACGTATAATAAGATAACAAATTTGTCGAATGAGTAACAAAAATATTGGTAAATAGTTTGCAAATAAAAGAAATATTTATGGAAGACTTTGAAATGTTGCTCATTCGCTTTATCAACAAATATTCAATAAATGTTATTATTTAATAATAATAATAATGATAATAATGATAATAATGATAATAATAATTATTATAATAAAAGTATATTATTATATATTTTGATAAATAAAAATCTAATTATTTTTGTGATGCAGTGAGAATCATACACCCACCCCTTCGCTCAAATACACAACCAAAGAATGTATTATTTTTTTAATTAAGGCACGAATTTTGAATCGCCACAAAGACCTTTAAGGTTAATGCATGGATTTTTCCATTGAAAGAAATCACTAAAAAAATTTTTTTTAAATTTTCATAAATAAAAATAATGACCTATGCCATCGAGTTTTTTTTTTTTTTACCTTTGGTGAAAGATAGTAAACAACGTATACACAGAAAGATATTATTTTTCAAAAATATTGCACAAACCCGACCTCCTCGGAAGAGCAAGGAATCGTAAAGAAAATATTCATTGAAGCACTATTATCTATTTACACTTAAGGCACATTGGTGAACCACCAAACAATTTTGGACAGAATAAGGACACTGACTCAGAAATAAGGGCGATGACTAAAAAATTAGGACAGAAACTTTTAGGAAAAATTTAGGACAATGTCCAAAAAATGCGATAAAGTCCTAAAAATTGTGACAATGTCCCAAATGATAGGTTAAATAATATTTACAATTTACATTTGAGGAATACGATATAAACATTTTACCAACCAAAAAATGTACAGAACAGTAGAAATCCTTTTTCATTTTTTTCGAAGTTCAGAAGAGTTGGATGTAAAACAGAGGGGGAGGGGGGGGGGGGCATTTCTAATAGTTTACAGTTTCTTTAAAGCTTAATCTGTGGCAGAGCACTTGCGTACCTTCCACGGTATATGCCGTTTGTTGCAGAACAAAAGGAGATTTTATTCTATAAGCCCGATGAGGTTGAAAACAAGGGAATATAAAATTGAATATTAAACAGTACCGATTTCATTTGAATTGTGATTTTACCAATGAATTGGGCTTTTTTCTATATGAAAATATATAAATTCTATATCCCTATAAATTATATCTTGAATATGGCCGATCTCTAAACAATGTAATTATCAAAACTCGATGAAATTTAAAACCAATAATTTTCACAATTCTAAATAGCCTTTAAGTTTACGATGACATGTTTGGTTCAGTTAAAAATATTAAAATCAACTTTAAACTGAACATTGCCACTTTTAGGAGGAAAGTTATTTGTGCGCTCATCAAGATTGGATTTCAATTTATATTGACACGCGACAGTATTTTAAATTTTATCTTTTCCCGAATTTTAATCTGATACGTTTTGAACCTTTTGGTTCCCTTTCAAAAATGAGCTAAAAATGAAATGAAATAAACTAAAATGAATATTGTGAAAAGATAAACATAAATTTTGGTTTATGGTTAAAATTTTGTAAATTGTAGAAAATCATTCTGCAGTCTAGACTTTAAAAATTAAACCATTGGCAAAAATTTAAAAAAATAGTAACCCCTTATTTATTTGTTTTTTTTTGGGGGGGGGGGGGACTAAATTTGAAGATAATAAAAAAAACAAGGATAACATTATCAACGATATGTGTTCTATGGAGGAAATGGATTATGTCGAAGAACTAGCCCACTATTCACTTAAATAACAATTTTACTACTAGCCTACTTTGGAAGACCTTGAAAAGAGTATTCGAAGTTTCCAAATTTTTCCCCTTTTCACATTCTATCACTTAAGCGATTGCCAATAATACTAATCAGATGGACAATGCTTTTCTAAATGCTGGGTTGCTTGAGCAGTTTCATTGATTTCATCCTTGATTACTTCTTGTCCCTCTTCTTGTTCTCCTTCTTGTTCCTTTACCCGGACTTTCGCTTCCGTTAATATCACGTGATTGGTAACCGGAAGAGTAATGGTTGGCGGAACAGAAGGCATCATTTCAACATGAACTGCCGAACTTTGGATCCCATGTTCATGTTCGGGAACAACGTGTACAGACATATCGGTTGGTTCAGGTGTTACTGGTTGAATTGCCGAATTTTGAACCATGGAATGATGCGATGCGTCTATGAGTGATGGGAGTTCGGCCATATGCTCCTCGTGTCCCACCATTTCAAGTTTTTCATGCATCGTTGAAGAATCGTAGCCATTGGACTGGACCTCGTATTTATGGATACTGTCATCGCTCTGGTACGACAAGAGTTTCACGTGCTTTGGATCAGCACCGGAAGTGACGTCTTGCATGAAAGAAATATAGGTCATAGCAAGTCTCAGAGTTTCAATTCGCGACAATCGTTTTTCGTAGTTAAATGCCGGAAGTCGTTTTCTTAAAGCATCAAAAGCTTCATTAAGCTGAAACATTCGCCGCCTTTCACGGACATTGGCTGCACGTCTTTGTACGACACTTTGTGTCCGTCGTCTCTTTGGCCTACCGTTAGCACCAGAGCCGCTTCTGGACTCCCGTCTGTTAGATGTTCCGTGTGCGATTGTGGTTCCATTTGCAGTTGCACCTGTCCACAAAACTTGAGATGGATAAAGTTCCGGATGTGTGGTAGGTTGGTAAGTGGAGTAGTATTGGAGCTGGGGGGCTATTTCCGGTCGGGGTGCAATCGAATACATCGATCGAGAGGTATCAATAGCGCCATTTTGCCAGTCAAGTTCCGGCGTAAAATATCCTTGAATATCTCCGGAATATTGTGATGTTGTGAACGTCGGCATTTCACTGGACGTATACGTCACGTGATAAACACCGTCCCCTTTAATTTCAGGATCCATATTGCAACATTTTTGAATTTCCTCACTGAATATAACTGGCTAAAAACAGCTACAATCCACAACACTACTTTACTAAATCCAAACCCAGTTATTAACAATCGTTTAAGGCACTACTTGAATCTCCGTTACAACCAACGCGCGAATATTAACAGGTTTGGCTTTAAACTATCTTTTAGAATATGCGATTGATAAATATATATAAATATAATGCCATTCAGTTTGACAACAGACGGTTTCGTTTCAAGATGACGCCATTTTGTTTTTTTAAAAGCATTCACTGATGGAAACGCGTTAAATGAATAAATTAATATTTAGAATAGCCGAGCTGGCAACAAGATTTTAGATAAGTTTTAGTATATTCGATATTCAATGCATAAAAGTGGAATAAATTGGAGCAAATTCAGGCAACAGTTCTGGCGGCAGTTATTGGTTCGATATGATTCACATGTATCAGACGTCAAAGATTCTGTCGCCAGGTGTCGCGACAATGGTTAATAATATACTATTGACTATATTTCTATTAATTCACAGTCCATTATTTTCAGTTTCGTTCTACTAAGCATAAATTCATTTTGAATTAAACCTATTTCAAAATATCGATTTTTAGGGAAATCCGCCATTCGGTCATTATAGTTTTTAACTTTTAGATTTGTTTGTTCTTACTGAAATATAATTTTAACATTTTCCGACCCATAACATTTTAAAACAAACTTGATTTGTCTGAATACATCCAGACATAATGACCCAAAAATGTTGTTTGTGTTTTTAGAAATTTGGGCCTGGACTCGATAACGTATAAGTAGTTTGAAAAAATATCAAAGAGTTGTTAAAAATAAAAAAAATAAAAATAAGAAACTGACCTTAGTTTCTTAATTTTACTTAATTATGTATGGCAGTACTTTCAACACGTGACGTGAGAATCTGTCACGTGACTAAGGTCATCATATCAGTATCAAATATGTCTAGGTTCTTGTTCTTTCACGCCATTGGTGTTTTGTGTCTGACCCGAATTCTCGCGGTGCATTGCATCTCGATAATTTAAAGCAAAAAGATGCTCGGTAACGTTCAGCACACGTGATTTGTTTTCGGTCACGTGACTGAGGGTTAATTGAGGTCAGATAGAGATAATATATTTTTATCAATTGTAACTCGATTTCCGATTGTTTTGTATAATGTTAAACAGTCATGTGACAGAATGCACGTGCATCTTGTGACTGTGAATATTTGACTTTGTTTATATGCCTAAAGGGAAGGTCTGGGTGAACTTGCCACTGGTAAAATCTAAGGGCACCTGGTTTTTTTTAAAGACAACTAGCAACTGATATCATTTGTGAGAGAGAATATGATCAATTATTTGATTTAGTTGACCGGAGTGCACTGAAATTCACTTCTGAAACCTGTTGCTCATGTCAGCCCCGTAGCCAGACTTGATTGTTCCGAGGGGCAAGATATGTATCCGGACGGGCAATGCTGCATGGTGTTTAGTAGCAGTAAAAACAATTTTTTTTCAGGGGGGCGGGGGGTTGGGGGGGGGGGGGGGTAATCTAGAAAAAAATTAGTCTTGTCGTTGACCTAAACTCATCCGCACAGAGCCATTGGGTGTTCCTGTAACACATGTAAACCATTCCTTATGCATATCTCTTTGTCAGCGTCGAATTTTGTCTGTTAATTTTAAACCCAGAACGCGGAAATATCTTTTAAAAATTGCATTAATTAAGTGAAGATGCAATATGCAGGTGCGAGGATGTCCCTTGTTTTCTTGTAGATTATTCCATTGTATTCCACCAAGTTGCATTATAATTGTTTTTTAATAGTTCTTTTAAACCAGACCGTTTAATTGTGCTCGAAATCTCTTCTGGATATTATTTTACTGCACAGCTCCGCATGATATCACAGTTCCACAATCAACACATTCAAGTTGGGTTGTCATGTCAAAATAAACCTCCTAAATACATAGTACAGTATTGACTGCATGTTAAGTTTTTGCTCTATCATCTGCTGAAGCTAAAAGTTAACGTTACCCTACCTAGAGGCCTACCTCTTCGAACACTTAATAAGTTTACAACTGAAGAAAAAGTTTCCGAAAAAGACACGATATGAAATGGTCTTACGGCAAATTGTATTTGTTTGTTTGATTTGTTAACCGTGGCAGAAATCCTCATGAATTCTATCTCTATAAAGTGCAATCAGTTACCGGAAAATGTGACGGGAATCCAACTTGAAAAGGAAAAATAAATATAAAAATTGACCGCTAGAAAGATGAGAACGATTACATCGCTTTTCCCAGCGAAATAAAAAAAAAATGGCATAAACCAAGCAATTTGTAGCTGATTTGATTTTTAAAAATTCTGCAGGTGTCAATTAGGCATTAATTAGTTTTCACGCCTTTTGGAGATTTGAGATCTTGTTGAAGAGATTTAAATACAAGGACTATTAGAAACAACTTAAGCATCACCTAACTCTGGGTCACAAATCAGAGGGTGGTCCGTTATTGTAATAATTGTCTGCTTATAGAAGCACCAGATATCATTTAATTTTGGGTCAGGGACCCGGAGGTGGTCCACTATTGTCCCATTGTCTACCTATGGATTTTGGTTTTTTGAATGAACTGTACAGCTTTGAAGCGTTTTTGCCCTATGATTGTCACGATTCCAAAATTTATTTTAGTATGAAATTTATTAATTATTCCTTAATTCCATGTAAAAGACTCCAGGCGTTTTCTGTGGTATTTGGCTTTGTCATGGCTATTAATGTTTATTTGTTATTTGTTTCTCCACTCAGCATTACTTTCAGAGAATCCAATGTTTATTTGGTGTATCTATGTAATACCGGCCATAGCCCGAGGTTGCTTAATTTAGATTTTGTTAAAGATATGACTCTAACGGTTAGAAATCAATCTAACTCGCCTTTAAATATAAATGTGTAACACCTTGTTTTAGTCACACTTTGGTTGCACCATATGGATATTTCATCAAAAGCTAAATTTGGTTAACAGCTCGTTCGTTTTTAACTTTCCATAATACGTCTTTTAATCACTCGTTATAAACAAAGCTTGCCCACCATCAAGGTGTTGCACCTTCAAAACTTAATGATCTTATTTTGATGTTAAAAATCGAAATGAAATTTTCATTTTGGTATAATAAGGAATATAACATGTAAATCCATCATTTTTGTGAAATGAAATAAAGAAATCTTAATAAATAATTATTGAGAATTTAAGATTGAAATTGAGTTTCATCATGGTGTCGCACTTTGTCCTTTATTATTCAGTTATTGAGCTAATAACTCATGACTTCATTAAAACATGAACTAATCTATTTGTACGATTAGTTTTGAAATTCCGTGGTAGATTTAATGCAAGTAGGACAACGAGTCACTATTTATTATGAATTGAAATGGAATGGAGTTTTACGTCTTACTTTTATTTGTATATCTAGAATATTTGGATTTAATGCAAAAAAATGTTTTTTTCTGGATTACCACATTTTCTAGAATAAATAATTTATTAATTCAAACAATAGTCGAATTCGAATTTCTTTATTATGAAAATGGTGTAGGACAAGGATATTTTCTTTGGTCAATTTTATTTATTTATTACGTTGATAATATGATTAAACTTCTTCATTTTTGAGCTAGTTAGTTAGACGCTGGTTCGCTAACCTGAAGGTCTAGGGTTCTATTCCGGCATAGGTCGAGATGATACCTACCTTTTTCAACCCGGTTTGCCCCTGTCAGTGATGCAGGTAAGAGAGGCTGACATGGAAAAAGCGCTTGATCATTCGGATTAGACAATAAACCGAGGCACCGTGTGCTACAGGCTGTACACCTTAAAGATCCCTTGACAGTTGGAAATCGAAAAAGAGTAGGCTATTGCCACTGTCCTGACAAAATTGCCCTCATTGCATACTGCATGGCATTACCCATCTTCATTTAGCCCATAAGTAGGACATGAAACTCTATTCATTTCATTTACGAAAGCAAATCGATAACTTAACTTTCATCTGCCTCGCTTTTGTTTTTGATGTGTAAAGCATAGGCCAAGGTCACAGGATACTAGTTATTCTAAATGACAAAATTAACGGGATTGTGTTTTAGACCGGACTTACCCAATCTTCCGGATCACATGATGTCCTTCTTTGATTAGATTTTGCAATTCATCATGACTTGTTTTCGCAGTTGATAAAGTTCATTATTTCTTTTATAATGAACTCACTGAACAGCGGTCATAGAATTAATAAAATGTGTAATTGAAAATTCTTAAAAAAAAAATGAAAATTTAATTTTGAAAATAATTTCAGCATTTGAGTTAAAATTCGAAGAAAGAATAATTGAAAATATTATTTTGGAAAAAAAAAATGAACAACGTTTTAATTGAAAATCTGTGGATGTGTTAATAAAAAAATAACCATCACAAATGTCACAAATATAAAAGAATTGTTTAAAATCATAATTGGAAATTTCCCAGAAAAAAGAAAAACACTTAATTACTTTGAATTAATGTCTGAAAAACAATTTGGAATATAATTAAGGTGCGAACAGCCTCGATTAATTTTGTCTAGTCGATTAGACAGTGACATTATAGCTTTATAGACAATATCGGGTAAGTCGTATAGCGTTGTCACATCAATTTGAAACATGCTGACACTTAAAGGACGACA